CCTTTTCCCTAATTAAGTCCATATAATACCACATAAATCATTATTACTGTGATTTCTAATTCTATGAACTGACATCATTGTCATTTTATCTGTACTTCATTTCTATCTTTTATCCTCTACCTAATTATTCCTCTATTATAACAGATTCTATACTGTAACTTATACCCCTTTTAATAGAAATAAAAAATTAATAATTTATATATTATAAACTAATAATTTACTTAATAATTGTCATTATTTTTCGCTGATTTTAATAAATCTCGAATGTTATGTCCACTCTTTTCACAAAAAATAATCAAATTATAATTCAATTTGAATTATTCACTGAAATTTGACCATGACAATCTAGTATTATAGCAAGCATAATTGTTTACTATTTAATTTAAAAAAAAAAAAAAAAACTTAATCATATAAAACATTACTTTAAGAGTGCATATAACTCACCTCATTTTTTCATTCGGCCCTTGCTTCTTCCCTTCCATTTTCATTACAAATTTCCATAAGATATTCATAACATCAATTGGTAAGAGAAGATTTTGAATGAAACAAATTAGGTCAAGATTTTGGTTTAGAGTTTTTTCTCTCTCTCATTGAAGAAGTTTTTCACTAAAATTTATTCTGTTTTCTTATGAATTGGATATTATTTTCAACACATTTGCTCAACGTTTTGCTTCTCATAGATTTATTCAAGTAGGAAAATATTGTGTTATTACGTTCTTTTTCTTTTTTTCTTCTTGATTTTTTTTTTTTTTTTTTTTTTGTTTGCTCAAGGTTTGATGTTTTTTTAAAAGTTTTCGCTAGTTGATTGGCAAACAATGAAAGATCTGCAGAGACTCCCCCCGACAAAAATCCTAGGTCCGCCGTTGCTTCCACTTCCACTACTACTACTAGAACTTGAGGATTGCTCGTCTCTCTCTCTACTGAATTCACTTGAGCTCTAAGGGCTTCTGCAGCATTTGGTCCCTTGTCTGCTTCGTCGCTACCATCATCTACATCAGTGATCTCATCATCAGTGTCATGATGTCGGGGTACCTTTACATCAAACCCAACATCTATTTTTTGTTCAGTGGCATTTCCATCATCAGAACCTCCATCACCTAATATATCAACCAAATCTATATCTTAATGTTCATCACCTTCATCTTTTTTAGACCCTAGTGAGGGGGCAGACACATTCTGTTGATCATATGGATAAGCAATCTCCTTACCATCAGGTTTTGCATATGTCATAAGAGTATTGTTTCGTGACAATCTACTATACAATCAATGCTAAAAAAACAGCGATATCACAACCAACAGTCTCAATTACAGTCAACTATAACGCTTTGCTTCCTGAATAAGAAATTATGAAAAAATAGGCCAATCAGAATTTTATTAACTTATCAAGGATAACTAGAAGTCAAAAAGGCATTGGACAAAATTGATAAAGGAGATGGACAGTAAAAGGTTGTAGATCCTCATATGACAAACCATTGTTTTAAGACCCAACCCGGCCAATTGAACTTGTTCGACCAGGACCTGGGGCCTTCATCGGGCTGGGTTATCAATTTTTCTATTCATCAAAAACCTAGAAATTAGGATGACGATCGACAAATAATTGAAGGCTAGAATGTTGGGGCTTTTGAAAAAGAAGGGCCGATGAGTGGAAAGGTGGTGATGGAGGTGATTTCTAGTGAGTGAAACGATCAAAAATAAAAAAAAAACCGCGGCGGCAAAAGTCAGCTATTGCCGGAGATTAGAGAGGAAAACGGGGGTAGGGTGAGATGGATTTTGTTTAGGAGGCTAAGGAGAGTATTTTTCATGATGATGAGGAGGGTTGTCGACATTGACAGTGGTGAGATCTAGCCTAGGTTATAGACGCCCAATTTCGGCTAGATCTTGGGCATTTGGGGTGTCAAATGATGATTGAGATAGCATTTGGTGTGTCACTGTTGCCAACCAGTCGACCGCCGATTTGTAATTAGGGTGTATTTGCTGGATTTCAAACCTATAGGGATTTACTGTAATTTTTATGATTGTATTTGCAAATCACTTTTATATTGCTTTCTACCACATTATTGCCAGAAAACGTTCAGCTTACTGAGAATCCTTGCCGCCATTGAGAAGGCAAATAGTGGAACCATGGAAGCAAATTACACAAACCTGAGTTCTCTGGTTGGCCAATAGTAATTGTCAACTCTAAACTGAAGGGGTGCTATGTGTTGTTTAAGAAATCAAAATGGTAACATTGTAATTTTATAAAATTCAGGGGTTTAATAGATCAAAATCGGTTGGTTAAACAACAAACTTTCTTTTCTTACTTGGATTCTCAAAATCTCAACCAAATTAATCATATCTTTAAACCAGGACCGGCTCAAGGAGTAGGCAGGTGAGGCACCTGCCTAGGGCCCCCAAAAAAATAAGGCCGAAAAGGGCCAAATTTTTTATAAATTTTTTTAATATATTATAAAAATAAAAAAAGTATATAATTTCTTATCTAAGCCAAAGGCCTTAAAAAAAAACAAAAAAAATGCCTAAATTTATTATTAACTTTTTACATATATTTATTCCCACCCAAAGTTTGATAAAATGGCAAGTTTGTACCTCTAGTTTCATATATTTTAATTTACACCCTTAAATTAACATATTAAATTTCTTTTAACAATGAAAGGCTAAAATTGTCATTTATTTGTCTCAAACTACTCATCCCCAATTCAATCTCAAAATTTAACATTCACATAAATCATCTCCACCCCTATTCCGCCATTGACTGTTTGGAGCTAATTTCGGTCGAATTTTTCACTAAAATAGATCGGAACCATCACTTTATCGTTTTCCAAGTGTTTTTCCAACCTTGATAGCCCTCAATTTGACCATTTTTTATGAATCTCGCAACCTAGCTCCACTGCTTGCGACAGCCATTTCCGGCCTTTTTAGCATGTACTTGGCATCGTTGGCCTTCCCCAACACCACCATCTTCCTCCTCTCTGTCTTCTCACCAAAACCCCTATCATACCTATTCTGTTTATTCTGCTAATCGCCGATCACCGATATCTTTTAGGCTGTGACTTCTCAAGTCTTTTCCAATCAATCCTGTCATTGAAAATCACCAATTTCACTACCCATCGCTTCTCCAATATCTGTTCTCCACCTATCCTAATGATTTTGCATCTCAAAAGGCAAGAAAATTAAATTTGAAATAATTTTTAATATATATTTATATTATTAGAAGGCTCCCAAAGTAACTTTTGTCTAGGGTTACAAATATTCTTAAGATGTCCCTGCTTTAAACCATATATTAATCCAATAAGTTTTATATAGTTTGAAAAAAAATTACTTACTCTTGATTAAATATCACTAATCAAGTAAAAAAAAAAAAAAAAGACATTTTTCACTATGAAAAGATATGTGGCTTTCAAAAACAAATTATTTGACCAAAAAGGACAATATGGTTAGTTTAGTTTGGTAGTAGATGGGCAGGCCAGCCTAACAACTCCCCAAAATAAAAAAAAAATAGGGTAAGACAAAGCTTATCATTCTGTATACCGAATGAACGTCCAAAGTGATGTGAAGTCCAATATGGTTGGGATAACGATTATCCACGTCGCACTCTACCTCAATCGGAATGTTCGTTAGAAGTATGTAGTAGCAGCGAGTTTAGTATTTCCAAAAAAAAAAAAAAAAATCTTTATTTGTCTTCATGTAAAGCTCATCGGGTTTAGAAATTGTCCATTCTTTTTGTAAATGTAATTTAATATACGTAGTACGATGATCTTTGGATTTGACACGACATATATTAGTAGGCCTTCAAGCTTTTGTCTCCATCTCAACTTTAAATTCAAATTTGATTTAAATTTATGGGCATTTTTTACTTATTATTTTTGTACGTATTCCTAATTAATAATATTTAGTACATTATTTTAGAAATATTATCTTTTTTTTATAATTATTTTTAAATCCTATAAGGTTATTAATTTCATTAAATATACCCTAAAAAAATATTTAAAAATTATCAAAAACACTCCCATGACCCATACTTCCCAGATTCTGGTAACCACCATCGGTGGTAGCCGGAATCTGTACAACGGCCTACCTACCGACCAAAAATAGACCAGAAAAGGCCAAATCTGACCGTGAACGACGGCCAAAGAAATGGCCGTCGTTGAGGTCAATGACGGCCAAATCTTGGCCATCATTGATCGAAAACGACGGCCACAGATGGCCGTCGTTTTGGCCTTTTCCGATCGTCGCGGCCACAACAGGCCATAGATCTGGCCTTTTCCGGCCAGATCCGTGGTGGATCTGGCCGGAAAAGGCCATAAGGACGCGTTACGACACAGATCCGACCAGTCTGTGTTGTAACGCGATTTTTCGGCCAGATTTCGATGGTGGTGGCCGGAATCTGGCACTGCAGGTGGTGGGGGTGTTTTTGTCATTTTATATATTAGGGTATTTAATTAAATTAGCAAACCTAGGAGCTTTTTCATAAATTTTTAAATTTTATTTCGTAATACTCTCCTATCCAACTACCCAATATTATTTCTAAAATCTTATCCAAAATAATAAACCAAACGCACCCTACATTATTATAAACGTGTTTACCATTGTATTTTATTTCTTATTAAATTTTATGTTTGCAAACACGGGGGAGTAACTTAGACAAATAAATCTTCATTGGAATTGTCAAGGGTTTTTTGAGGATTCCAATAAGGTTTTGCGTTATGACATTTGACCTCCTATGTTTTAATTTTTCACGAAATGCTCACATTTCTTGGGTTCAATTATAGTTTTTTTCCTTTCAATCATGAATTTTTTTTTTTTTTTTCTAAAGAACTATGTATTAATACATCATAAATAAGATAAATAAAAAGCATTTAGGGTATTGTTTCAAAAATACTTTAAAATATATCTTTTTTTAATATTGTGAAAACAAAAAACTACCCAATTTAAAACAACAATAAAGCTGAACAAATTAAAGAACTCAAGACTCTTTTTTAATTTATCAGAAACTACCCAGATTGTTTTCAGGCAAAATTTGCAATCACTCACCTCAGATTTAGGCTTTGCTGCCAAAAACAAACAAAACATAATAATTTTGGCTCCCTTTCTTTATAGGGCAGCACTATAACATCTCTACAGTTTTTGCACACCAATCTCAAAGATATTAAACAAGAACATTCTCCCCAAAAATGGGATGGCTTATTACATTTTGTATGGCAAGAAAATTGTATAAATATTGATCCCTTATGTATGTTTTTGGTTCTCTTGGAATGTTGTTTACTTGTAAGTTTTCAATGTTTCACACGAGTCCTCAGATCGAGTTAACCGAGTCTTCATCGCTGCCATCACTGTCACTGGAGCTACTACTTCCACTACCGCTTCCACTCCCACTGCTTCCACTTCCACTACTACTGCTAGAACTCGAGGACTGCTTGTCCCTCTCCGCTGCATTCACCTGAGCTCTAAGGGCATCAGCAGCATTTGGCCCCTTCACCTGGGCTCTAAGGGCTTCTGCAGCATTTGGTCCCTTGTCTGCTTCATCGCCGCTATCATCTACATCAGCGATCTCATCATCAGTGTCATGGTGCCGGGGTACTTTAACATCAAACCCAGAATCCGTTTTTTGTTCAGTGGCATTTCCATCATCGGGGCTTCCATCACCGAATATATCAACCAAATCTATATCTTGATGTTCATCGCCTTCGTCATTTTTAGACCCTAGTGAGGTGGCAGACACATTCTGTTGATCAAATGGATCAGCAATCCCCTTACCAGCAGGTTTTGCACCTGTCATAAGAGTATTGTTTCATTACGATCTACTATACAATCAATGCTCAGAAAACAGCGAGATCACAACAAACAGTCTCAATTACAGTCAACTGTAATGCTCTGCTTGCAGAATAAGAAATTATGAAAAAATGAATCAGTCAGAATCTCATTAACTTATCAAGGATAATTGGAAGTCAAAATGGCATGGTTGCATGGGACAGAATTGACAAAGGATATGGACAGCAAAAGGTTGAAGATGAGATACAAGTCAGATGCATAACGACTGACGAGCAAGCACAGCAAATTATCAAAGAACCAAGACCCACTTATGGGTGATCATGTTGTCCTACATCAAGCCAATTTGGGTGTCCTTGCAGAAGATAATTTTGCTATCTCAACATGAACAAACATGTAACTCTCCACTTCATCATAATAAGGGAAGAAAAAAAAAACTATATGGCCGAGAGTCCAACCAATCTACTCATTTTGATTCAAGCCACAGTTTGTCAATGTGCTTAACAAAACAAAAACAGGGGGAAATTACAGATGAAATTTAAAAATAGAAAATTGTTAAAGATGGTTCAGAACCCAATTTAAAAAAGTCATACAGGACACAGAAAGAGACAAACTAATTTTATTTTCCATAATTCTTTAATTATCTTTTGCCTAATTTTACATATCAAGAAGTCTAAAGTAATGCCTCAATTTGCAAATCATTTTTATATTGCCTTCTACTAGATTATTGCCAGAAAACGTTCAGCTTACTGAGAATTTTTGCAACTATTGATAAGGCAAATAGTGGAACCACAGAAGCAAATTACACAAACCTGAGTTCTCTGGCTGGCCAATATTAATTTTTTCCACTTCAACCTGTTTAACACAAAAAATAAAAAAAATAAAATAAAATAAAATGAAAGCTTTAAACATTAAAGAAGAAAATCATAACAATATTTTTACTGTTTTACTCATAGAACTAGAGCAAAGAAGCTACGAAACAAAATTTCAAGCCTTGATTATGATTGAGTTCACAAAGGGGAGAAAAAGAAGAAGTAAAGAAAGGATCTGGATGATCCACTTGAAACAATGATCATATATTTCATATAATCAGAACACATGCCATGACCAAGAAGATTTTGAATTATCATCAATTGATATTTCTTCCGGATAGTCGTACATTTGTGTTTTTGGTCTAAATGGTTATTCCATTTTCAAATAGTACCACAGATAGTTTTCTCTTAACAATAATTCAATCTAATATATGAGGTCTTGGGATTGATCACCCTTATACCAAGGTTAAAAGGGAGTTGAGTATTCCAGTCACAGACATCATAAGAAAAGACTTCACTCTTATGATCAACAGATATTTAAAAACTTATTCTTCAAGTTATGAAGCGAAAAGAGACTAATTTGCATTAATTTAGATCCTCTTCAAAAAAATTGAAGCTATTAGCATCTTGAAGCTTCCCAACAATTGAATCATCAAACAACAATTTAAAATGCACATCCCTTCTACCTCAACGAAGAAGAAAAACAATTATAGGAAATCAATCAACTATTAAAGAGAACTCACTGGCACAGCAGGAAATGTGTTTCTACTCGGATGCACTGGTTTCGAACCCTTCCCAACTGGAGATAACCTTGGTTCAATCGCAGCTGCAACTGCTGACGCAGATTCACCAGGCATTCTAAGGTGCCTCAGCTGCTTGACTGCCCGGTGAAGCCGCTCCAACCGGAATGTTTGACCATCAAAAAGCAAAACAGCATCGTTTTCTTTGTAATCCTCACTACTTCCCCCAAATGTCACTTTAGGTTTCCCTAACTGATTGTTCTGAAATTCCACAGAAACCCTATTGTCCTTTTTCTTGTGCAAGCTTCCGGGCTTCGTCTTATCAATTGAAGCCGGCTTAAATTCATCTACAACAATGCCAAATTCAAAACAAAATTTAATTATAAAATTTGATAAATTAACAAAAACTGAAAGCAACTTTTTTTTTTTTTTTTTTTTTTTTAATTTCTAATTTTAAAATAGCTTTTGAAATTGTAGCCTAAATATTTCAAGAAAACATTTAAATTGTATTTAACCAATGATTTCACAATTAATCAACTCATCTTCATTCAACAACAATGCCAAAACTCTTAACCTCAATTCACTTTCTAAATCACAAATTTAAGAAACAAAATCAACACTTAATCCATCAATAATTATGCCAATAAATAAATCATAACAATAAAAAAAACTTAAAATTCAAGCAATTAAGCTCCGTTCGGCGGCCAGAAACAAAGCACTTTCAGAACAAAAGTGATTCGACCAATTTGACTTACATCGCAGGGTGCAGTACTTGTTAGACGAATCGTCTTTGAATGAAGAGCCGAGCGTGAGATTGTACCAGCGATCGGGTTGCGGCGCGGCCTTCGGCTCCTCTTTGGAGTTGCTCGCCATTATCTTTAAAAATCAGGAGATTGGAGGAAAAGTAGATGTACAGATCGTCATCACGAGGGCTCCACCTCGATGTGCTGACATGGCAGGATCGTATTGGCTAGTGATGGAGGTAGAGGTAGAGGCAGGCACTGCGGGTACAGTGCTGGGAGAGAAGTACAAACCTGGTGTGTAGGGTTTTGTTTTGATGAGGATGGATATGGAATATATGTTTGGTGTGGGACGGTGTATGGGAGTTAATGTGAGTGACGTGAATATTTTTGCCACGTAGTGTGATTTTGGTCGGTGGGGTTATTAGTGTGACGTGGAGGGAGATAAGTTGAGGTAGCTTTGGGAAAAGAATTAAGACTTTTGCGTGGAGTAATTGCCTTGGTGCGCCAGAATAACTGAACCGCAGGTTGGTACGCACGTGCGCGTTTAGACTGCCTCGTCTGGATATTCGGCTATGTTTGTTTTCAGTGGATATACTATTCTTTCCAAGAATAGGATAGCAGTCTCCTTCAATATCATCGGACTGCTTAACAATGTGAAACCGGCAATGATTTTGAAAGTCACATGTTCTATACATTATAATATAGAAATTACATGCTAACATTCGTATTTTATTTCTAAAAGGAGGGTAAGATCGTTATAAAATTTATAAATGTTGATGTCTATTTTAAAATATATTAATCAATATGCTATAAACCTGGTTTGGTAAAATAATTTTTTTTTTTTGTATAAAAAATTCAAAATATAAATCATATAAGCTCAATGAATTAGATATAAAACTTTTTTAAGTAATCTATTTGGATAAATAAAATCTTGTCGTCTGATTATAAAACTAACGGTTCTTGCAATACTTTTTACTTAATGTAAAAAAAGTTAAAGAAAAAAAAACTATTTATCCAAACACAAACCTTAAAAAAAAAAACTTTCGTATAAATATCTAATATCATATAAAGAGAGCCTTTTCACTCTTGCAAGATTTTTTTTTTATCAAATAAAAATAAATAAATAAATATTTATTATTATTTTTTAAATAGAGTATGGGCCGTTATTGGCCCATTAATCCACCTTATCCTCAACTGCTAACGTGTCCTCAATCCATAGTCCCGTCAGATTTTCACCAAGTCAAATATCGAACAGTCAATCTAAAACCACTCCAAAACGGCACCGTTTATATAATTACAGCCTTTCGTATCTTTGTTTTTAAATTATCAATTAATTCAGCTGGAGCTTTAAGCTCTAGACGAGTTCAGTAACAGTTACCTCTCTGCTACAAGTATCGAACGATGGTGCGTTTTGGCGGGCAGAAGGTGGGCCAGGTTGTGGCGGGAATTGGCGGGAATAGTGTGGGCCAGCTTCTGGCGGCCGTTGCAGTCACTCTGTTGCTCCGCGTGTTTTCCGGACCCGGCCCGGCTTTGCTTCCGGATAACGAGTCTGTCGTTAGTGACGATGATGAGCAAAACGACGTCGCGGAAGATAGCGATAGCGGCGAAGCTCAGGCTGACGGTGAAGTTGTCCCTGTCACCATCCGTTGGCGCAACATCACGTGCTCTCTCTCTGATAAATCGTCAAAATCTGTGAGTTTTTTTTTTTTTAATTTTTTTAGTTTTTAATTTTTTGTTTGTTTGTTATTGTGTAAGGTTCTGTTTGGAGTTGATTCGAAATTGTGGAGAAATGATTTCTTATCTTGTTGTGTTCTATTTCAATTAAACTTGAGGTGCGTTTGGAAGGGAATTTGTCGAAAGTGGTTTTGCAGTAAGTGGTGTTTTTTATCTGAAAAGTGCTTTTTAGAAGCATCTATGAGAGCATTTCCAGTGTTTTTTTCTTTTTTTCTTTTAATACAGTAGACCTTCAACAAAATGATATAAAATTATTACGAAAGCGCTTTTAACTATTTGACAGAACTTTTAATAGTGTTAAAAGCGCTTTTAAACACACTATTGGTTACTTAGCTTTGCTAAGATGGAGGTGGAAAATTCAGCTTTGAAATTATAATTTTGAAATTTGAATAAGAGTTTCTCCTTTTCTTTTGTTTTTTAAAGAGCGAAACAAGATGTTATTGATTTACTAGGTAGAAAATGTGGAGAATTGCAAATTTAAACACAATTCTATCGTAAAGATAATTTTAGGAAACAAGAAACATAATATTTGATGGTTTTAATTCATAGGTGCGGTTTCTGCTTAAAGATGTATCTGGAGAGGCAAAACCTGGAAGATTATTGGCAATAATGGGACCGTCAGGGTCGGGAAAAACAACATTGTTGAATGTTCTGGCGGGTCAGATAATGTCATCTCCCCGTCTACATTTATCCGGTCTTTTGGAGGTCAATGGAAGGCCTAGTTCGAACAAAGCTTATAAGTATGTTTTGTTGGGATAAATATTTTTTAAGTTAGGTTAATGATTATGCTTGTGATGGGATTTGAGTGTTTTCTTCTTGTTGCAGGTTTGCCTTTGTGCGACAGGAAGACCTTTTTTTCTCGCAGTTGACTGTGCGAGAAACACTCTCTCTTGCTGCTGAACTTCAGTTTCCAGAGATATCTTCTGTGGAAGAGAGAGATGAATATGTGAACGGTCTCTTATTTAAGCTAGGCTTGGTAAGGCTTACTTGATTTTTGTCTATTAAAGTTAGGAAGACATTTTTTTGCTTCACATATAAGTTGGTCGTTTCACCAATATCTGGTGTCAATGTTCTTCGTATATGACATCTACTGGTGGTTTACTATAAATAAGTTGATAAACAATAATTATACTGTGTTTGGTTAATACTTTAATTTTTATTCTAATGCAACATCTCTTTTTGGTCGTTGCTTTTATTCTATATTTAAAAGGTCAGCTGTGCTGATTCCAATGTTGGTGATGCAAAAGTGCGTGGAATCAGTGGGGGTGAGAAAAAACGTCTGTCTCTTGCATGTGAACTGATTGCAAGCCCATCTGTCATATTTGCTGATGAACCCACTACTGGTACATGTGCTTTATGTAACTCCGTTCTTATGATTGGTCTTGATAGCTCTCTGCTTCTCTTGCTTTTCTATCCTGTGTCTGATCTGGCTGTAGTTTTGGCAAGTACATATGGATAGAAAAGTGTCATGTTTTAACTAAATTGTTCCAAAAAATTTCTGTCTCCAAGCAATATGCAAACATCTCTAAAATCAAAATGAGTTATATGAATTATAGAACTCCTATCAGATAGTTACCCATACAGACTTTGTCAAAATATGCTAACCAGCTATGGAAATAGGGAGATAGATTCAAAAGTCATGGACAATCTGCCTAGAAATAGAAAATTGATAAATGGAGCACCTTTTCATATATCATGCCATGTATTCAATGCAACCCTGTCATATTATGAACTTTCTTTTATGGTTTTCAAATAAATTAAACTACTGGTGAGCTGCTCAGGCTCATTCAGGCTTATATACTATCAAGTAGATTAAACTTTGGTTTCAAACTTAAGTTCCTACTAATTGTGGCTAAAAGAACAAGACTTTGCTTAGTTAAGTTTGTGAACAACTCGACCATAACATGCTACTATACCTACTCATCCCATTTTTCCTTCAACCATTCAAGAGTGTAGAATAGCTAAAATATATAGACTAAATCCAGGGAGTTTAAAACATTCCTAAAATACATGAGATTGTTCCTCAAAGTACTGCATATCACAAAGGGGATATTTTGATTGAATTAAAATGTGGATTTATTCCATTTGGATTTAATTTGATATACTTCAATCTAATTTGAATTTAATTTAATTTATAAACTTAAGATTGGAAATCAACATTACGGTTTATAGGACAGATTAAGCTGAGAGTTTTTATTTCTCTCTTATTTTAGCTGCTTTGCCTGCCTGATGATGCTTTTAAGTGCCGTTTTAAATAGAAATATTTGTAATTATACATCTGGGTTGGGTAAGGTGCAGACAGAGAGAATAACTGTCAATTAATTTTCCTAGTAAGCATTAATTTGGTAATATAAATGGCTTGACTGCTGTAGTAATTGAAGTTTTTCCAATCTGTTGCAAATTCACCTGTGATGCAGGGCTTGACGCTTTCCAGGCAGAGAAAGTAATGGAAACTCTACGACAGCTTGCACAAGATGGGCATACTGTAATCTGCTCCATACACCAGCCTAGAGGTTCTGTGTATAGTAAATTTGACGACATTGTGTTGCTGACAGAGGGTGCACTTGTTTATGCTGGTCCCGCTCATAATGAACCGTTGGCATACTTCTCAAAATTTGGGTTGTTAACTAAACCTTTTGTCTGTTATGTATTAATTATGCCAAGTCTTTATCTGAATGCTTGCTATGGTTATACTCCATGATTTCTTCCAAACTTCTTCTTGATATGTATTTGCTTTGTCTAGATTACCAGTGAGCTAGGAGATTTGATATACAAGGCCACATATTGAATAAAACTTATTCTAGGAGGTATAGGTTCAACCTCCAAAATTCACAAAAATAGAGCAAGGTTCAACCTTCTCAAACTGACCTGCCAGCACTCTTGTGGCCATCTATGTTTCTTATAACAGGAGATGGCTTGAACAAGAACAATAGACATGTAAACTATCTACTTTTTAAGAAGTTTATGTATAGTGTTGATTGCCATGAATAGCATAGTGTGTATAGACATGTGACTTCCTACCAGGAAAAAAAGAAAAAGAATGGAATTAATATTGATGCAGACAGAGTAGTGGCAATTTGTTCATAAGAATGTATGTCAACTTCAACATTTTGACTAATAGTTGAAAACACTGCCTGATATTAATGATGGTTAACTCAACAGGTATCGTTGCCCAGATCATGTGAATCCTGCTGAATTTCTGGCTGATCTCATATCCATTGACTACAGTTCTTCTGAAAGTGTCTACACTTCTCAGAAAAGGATAGATGCTCTGGTTGAGGCATTCTCACAACAGTCGTTGACAATTCTTTATGCCACTCCACTTAATAGAAGAGAAGACTCCAAAAACTTTAAGAAATTAAGGAAGAAAACTACAGTTAAGAAAGGGGGTTGGTGGAGGCAATTCTGGTTGCTCCTTAGACGTGCATGGATGCAGGTTGGTCTTTCAACTATCACTATATAGATTTGCTTACTTCCACCAAGCCCAAAATGAAGAATCTCTTTAATACTCTCCTTGAATTACATGATTGGACTTGGGAATAATGCGTTCCTTTCACTCATAAGTTGATTGAATTGATAGATAAATATTTCTACCTCCTCTTAATTGTGGGCCTGGAAATGGACTGCAATGATAATGCTGTGTAAATTCAAAATTCTTTTCTTTTTTATTATTATTATTATCTTGTCTATGATTGTTCATTAAGCTGCTTCGTTTGCTTAAGGCAGACAAAGCCTTTTAATAACAGAGTTCATTGCACTTTCTCCAGTTCAATTGACTTTAAGTCAGTCATTGGGAGTGGAGCAACAATTGAAAAGATGCTCAGAACCAATGTAGTACTCTATGAATAGGTTCTTGTATGATATGACATACACCATCATAATCTTGCTTCTTTAGTTAATGGTTTGAATCACTATTGGAATGAGTTGCTGCTTTTATCTAAATGATAGCTTCAATTGGTTGACCAGGCCTCTAGGGATGGACCGACAAACAAAGTTCGAGCAAGAATGTCAGTTGCTTCAGCTATAATATTTGGGTCAGTTTTCTGGAAAATGGGAAGATCTCAGACATCGATTCAAGACAGGATGGGATTGCTTCAGGTATGAGGTGCTACCAATTCCCTGTAAAAGAAATTTCCCTCCTTATGATAATTTTATGGAATTGCAGCAAACATCCATCCACGGAGATATACTTTAGGCTGTCAGTGTGCCATAGGTGCGATAATGGACTAGAGTAAATTAATTTTTTTTTAAATAAATATGGATATATAAGATTACAAGTTGTCTGCTTTTCACTTAGCTAGTTGATGAAACTAATTGAGAAGCTTTTCATTAATTTTCTTTGAATTTCTGTTTGGCATTACCATGTACTCTTCACCACTTGCATTATAACAGAGTTCAAGTCCATAAACATTTCAACACCACCCCCCCACCCCCGCGATACCTACAGTTAAGAAGCCAAATCTATGGCTGAAATTTCGGTAGCTCCAATCTCGTCATTCTAAGCATATTTGAAAATTTGTTTGTATAAGCAAGAATATATCTATAAACAATTTGTGAGTGGCAATAAGCCTTGATGGATTGGATAAGGTAAGTTTTATCCTCAAAGTGATCATTTGTGCTCTTCAGGTTGCTGCTATAAACACAGCAATGGCTGCTTTAACAAAGACTGTGGGCGTGTTTCCTAAAGAACGTGCAATCGTGGACAGAGAGCGTGCAAAGGGGTCTTATGGTCTAGGGCCCTATCTGCTTTCTAAATTAATTGCTGAGATTCCTGTTGGGGCAGCATTTCCTCTAATGTTTGGAGCCGTGCTGTACCCCATGGCTCGTCTTCATCCTAGTTTGTCCAGGTTTTTTTTTTCTCTCTCCACTACTCTAATCGCTACAAACTCTGAAAGGTGGCTAGTTCGTTATGTCTAGATTGGCATGATGTTTTTATCTTCAAGAATATAGGAACAATATTGCCGTAGTTTTTAAATTGGTTGTTTTCATCATAATGGAGGAAGATACTGATTTGGAATTCTTTTACTTTCAAGGTTTGGAAGGTTCTGTGGTATTGTGACTGTGGAATCTTTTGCTGCATCTGCAATGGGCCTAACTGTGGGGGCTATGGTTCCAACCACAGAAGCTGCAATGGCTGTGGGGCCCTCGCTTATGACAGTTTTTATTGTATTTGGAGGATATTATGTCAATGCAGAGAATACACCGATTATCTTCCGTTGGATTCCCCGTGTTTCTTTGATAAGATGGTAAAAAATATCATTGCATGTCAATGTGAACTACTTTTTTTTTCTTTTTTTTTTTTCTACCTTTTCATTCTTATGACATGATGTTTTATTCACATTCTTTCAGGGCCTTTCAAGGGCTTTGCATCAATGAATTTAGTGGTCTTCAATTTGATCATCAGAATTCATTCGACATTCAAACAGGAGAACAGGTTAGGCGAAGCTACAAACCTGTCTGTTTTATCTAAAGTAAAATAAACCTTCAAATTTAAATTCCTCTTCTGGTTAGGTAAAAGAGAATTCAGCTGAAGGAGCATATATTGTATAGAACCATGGCTATATTATAAACCCCAATTATGGTTCCAGGAAAAAGTTACAACCATGCAAGTGTCATGACACTGAGCACAGTTATTTTAATGGACTGGGAGATAACTATAGAAGCACCAAACTAATTTTTAACATATGTAGTCCAATTTTATGCTTCTTAGTTTTCTGATATACGAAAACTTGTCAGTTGTTTCTAATGTATAATACTATAATATAGCATAGCCAGTATATTCATTTCCTGGACATGCAGTCCTTGTCCAAGAGATCCTGAGATTGATTCAAGGACACCTAGGGAATATGTAGTGTACGTTTTCCTGTTATTCACGGTTTTGTAACAAGACATTTAGGTATTATTGGTCAATTGAAGTCTGCAATCCTAAACCAGAGTTTGTGAGACATCATGTTAATGCCAGGACTTGGAATATATGTAGCTGCACGGGCCTTTTAAACTCATATATCAGATTCAGGACCTGAAACGTTATTGGGCATTTCGCAAGATAAACATTTTGCAAAATTAACTCCCGAAACATCACGTTTTAGTCCATTGTTCTAACTCATCGACTGAAATATACTGACTAAGATAAATTTGCTCTTTCCTCTAATTTTGCAGGCGCTTGAACGGCTCTCATTTGGAGGAAGTCGCATTCGGGATACAGTGATGGCTCAAAGTAGAATCTTATTATTTTGGTATTGCACCACTTATCTTCTCCTAGAGAAAAACAAGCCCAAGTACCAGCAGCTTGAGCCACCGCCTCTTGAAGAAAAGGAGCCAAAGCTGCAACTTGAACCTTTAGAAACCGACTCGACTCCTCCATTGGAGCAAGTCAAATCAAACCAGCAGCTTGATCCAACTCCACCTCCACCGCCACTTGATCAAGTAATTCCATTTATCCTAGAAGGTTTGTAATTGTTTAGGCATTCAATAGTGTCATTATAAGATGAGTCACGATTTATTAATCTATCTCATACAGGTGCTAAGTAAAGGAGATGTCTTGCCATAAAAGGAGGGCCTCTTGCCTAAATTGAGCCACATTGAGCTGGTTCTATAAAACATAAATAAGAAAAATGAGCATGGTGATTACTGTATAAAACAAAGAAAAATGTCAGATTGGAATCTGTGGAATCTCATGAAGAATGCTTCTCTCTATGCCCACCTAAATAAGCCATCGTTTTCCTTTACAAATAGTTCATGGGCATACATTTAGTGAATCGATTAACAGATTGCATCGATTATGTACGAGGCAAATATTCTTAGGAGTACATCGAAGTTTCTTGATGCACTTTCTGAATAAACGTTTTATAAGTGATTTTTGAAAAAACCAGTTTCGGGTTTTTCACTTTTTCTGTTGAAGTGTTTTTTCGCTTGAAAGTGCTTTCTACAAAAATTACTGTTGAACGCACTTTCTATGTTTGACCATAGTCCATAGCGTAGAATAGTCTCAACACTACGGAAGGCATAGAAGTGCTTTTGTTAATTGAGTTTTAGTTTATAATTGAAGAAGCATGCAGCATCTTTATATCGTGGCATTTTTCTTGTTTAAAGTTCATTTATATCCGTTTTGAAGAAACATTTCATAAGGGCATCTTCAACGGGATACCAAATTGGTGTAAAACACCAGTATGGTGTCCAAATTTTGTTTCAACCAAACACTAATTTGGCGTAATACTATTCATTCAAATCAAAACATATTTTATTTCCTTATTTTTGTTATTTAATTTTTCTTTTAAATTTGTATTTGTGTTAATTTGATTATTATTTATATTAAAATTCATAATAATAAATTTATAGTAATTATATAATTCAAAAAATGATGAAAAATTTAAAATAGATTTAATTGCAATGCAAATATTAAACATCAACAACTAAAAATAAATTAATATTAATTTAAAAATACTTAAATTAAAAGAAAATACAATATAAACTAAAATAACAATTTAGTATTTTAGTAGATTAAATTACTATTAATATGGAATTTTATTTTTATACCGTTATTTTTTTACTTTTTTGTGGTATTTTATATTATATGTAAAAAAATTTAATATTAGATGTAATGTTTACTTGATTTAATAAATGTTTAATTTTATTAAATTAGTATAATTTTCAAAGTTATTATTAGTAGTCAAATAATAAAATATATTATTTTTAATATTTAATTAATATATGTAAAAATAATTAATGAAATGAATTAATTGTTAAGAATTAATAGAAAGAATATTAAAAAGAATGTTTTAAGAAATATTATTTTTAATGAGTTAGAGATGAAATTGTAAAATAGTGTTAAAGTTATACCAATTTGGTGTTTGTGATTGGATATCATCTTATTGCTTTTGATTTACTCAAAAGTGCTTTCTATAAAAGTACTTCCAATGCTCGTTCAATGTCTCACTCGGCATGTGCCGTCAAATAGGAGTCTTAAAGGGCACAGAATAGAAGTGCTATTTCGATTGTGCTTCAGTTGAAATTCAATGTGTTGGCTTTATCATATGCCGTCAAATACGAGTCTTAAAGGGAGAATTTAATAGGCTCGGCCCGACGCCGACGGCCACCTTTCTTCTATAAATAAACCAAACTCATCCATCATCATCATCAATGACGCATCACCATGCCTCGGTCTTTCTCTTAAAATTCTTTATCACATTCATAATTAAAATAGTTATGTATGTACTTAGCTTTAAAATAGTTATGTATGTACTTAGCTTTAAGTATTGTTTACCCATCTCATTTAAAATAGTTCAAGTAGTACTCCACACTCGACATATTCCATTAAAAGAATGATATTTAAAGGGACGTGTTCTAAACCTTAGGGGTGGGCAAAAAAATAAGGTAGAACCGAAACCGTTGAGTATTCGGGTTTCAGTTTCAATTTCGATTTCTACCTAAAACTGGTTGTCATAGGGTGGGTTTTGGTTCCAAAAAATTGGAATTGACATTATGTGGTTCCGGTTCTAGTTTCTGCAAAGAGAAATCAAGAATCGAAACTGATGCTTAAATGAAATTTTATGAAAATAAGATTATTTTTCTAATATTTCATACTTCAAATAAAATAAAATAAAAGAGTTAAAAGTTTCTTTGATAAGGGTGTCATGCAGGAACGTGGTCGTGTTGTTCCCCGCGGAAATCATGTTTTGATTTTGCGTGCACTTCAATCCCACTTGCAAGTTGCAATTCCTTTTTTCACCTATTCTAACCCCCTACCAAATTAATTCAACTTCAATTAAATTCCATTAACTATTATTATATACCTACATTTACTAGTTATAGTATTGCTGATAATATACGCCAAAAATTACAATTCATTTAAAATATATGGGAGATAAAATATATTTATTAGAGTAAAGAATTTTCATATGCTATTTTTATAAATTTCTTAGTTATAGTATTGCGGTTATCATGTTATTGTAGTTGTGTTATTTAAAACGTTATGTAATTTTAATTTTGGGAGGATAAAAATTGATATGTTATTAACTTATGTAGGTAATCTTTAAGATTACCGAACCACTATAAATCTGATGTTATTTTCTTTTCTTTTACTTTGCTGTTTAATTGTTTCTCTTGTACTTGTTTGATTGGATGAATGTTTCCGGGTTATTACATGATTATACTATTCTTGGATCACATTTTATAACAATTGGTATCAGAGCCAGGTTTTTAGAGTACCTAGGTTCCATTAATTCTAGGTTGTGAGATCCAATTTTTGAATCTGCAGTAATCTAGGGTTTCTACAGTTCTATTTGTTACTTAGGGTTTCGGATGGTCTCCAAAAATTGGGGCTTTTGGTTTCTAAGTTTCTAGGAAGGTTAGAAACCTAGAAATGTCTAAGTATGAACTGGAGAAGTTTACAGGAGATAACGATTATGGGTTGTGGAAGATGAAAAATGAGGGTTGTCTTAGTCAAGGATAGGTTGTCTGCTACCTTAGAGGGTGAGGAGAGTTTACCAGAGAGCTTGTCTGAAAAGGAAAAGAAAGAACTACTAGATAAGGCTTACAGTTCACTAATCCTAGGGCTAGGAGATAAAGTCCTAAGAGAGGTTAAGAAGGTGCAAACACCAGCAGATATTTAGGAAAAATTAGACTCCTTATACCTGTCTAAGTCTTCACCAAATAGGTTAGTTTTAAAATAGAAATTTTTTAGTTTTAAAATGGATGAAAACAAAGTTTTAGGTGACAACATTAATGACTTTAGGAAACTAATACAAGACTTAGAAGGTCTCAGTGTTACCATTGAGGATGAGGATCAAGCTATAATTCTTCTGAATTCTCTTCCCAAAAGTTTTTCAAATTTTGTTGATACTCTTAAGTATGGTAGACAAACTCTTAAGCTAGATGAGGTTTTAGTAGCTATTACTACTAAGGATACTGAGTTTAGGAAGGAGGGTAAGTTAGATGGAGAAGGTCTAAATGTCAGGGGCAGATCTGAGAAAAAAGGGTTTAAGAAAGGTCATTTTAGAAATAGATCTAAGTCAAAATCTAAGTTTGTCAGGAAGTGTTTCCACTGTCACAAAGAAGGACACTTTAAAAGGGATTGTCCAGATAGGAAGAAGAGATCAGGGGAGAAAGAGGCTAGTGGCAGTGTTGATATAGCCTCAGATGGGTATGAAAGCTCTGATGTTCTTGTAGCTTCCGATAGGGAATCAGAATCTGAGTGGATTTTGGACTCTGGTTGCACTTTCCATATGACTCCAAATAGGAGTTCACTCATGAACTTTCAGAAGATAGAATCTGGCAAGGTTCTAATGGGGAATAATGCAGTGTGTAGTGTATTAGGCATTGGGGATGTCAGATTAAGTCTTCATGATGGCAGTTCTAGAATCCTTTCAGAAGTTAGGTATATACCTGAGTTAAAAAGGAACCTGATTTCCCTAAGTAGTCTGGACTCAAATGGGTTTAGTTACAAAGCTCAAGGTGGAGTTATTAAAGTTACCAAATGGTCATTGGTGGTTATGAAATGAGAGAAAAGAAATGGTCTATATGTCTTAAATGGATCCACTGTTGTTGGAACAACAGCAGTAACATCTCAGAAGCCTAATAAAACCTCCATTTGGCATAAAAGGTTGGGACACATTAGTGAGAGAGGTTTAATTGAGTTAAGTAAGCAGAATGCTTTAGGAGGGGATAAAATTGAGAAGCTAGAGTTCTATGATCATTGTGTTTATGGGAAGATGAGCAGAATCAGGTTCAGTGTGGGAAACCACTGTTCTAAGGGTATTTTAGATTATATTCACTCTGATATGTGGGGGCCAACCAAACATCCATCTTTGGGAGGATATAGATACTTCATTAGCATCATAGATGACTTTTCTAGGAGGGTATGGATCTATTTTTTAAAAACCAAAGGTGAAGCCTTTAGGAAGTTTAAGGATTGGAAGATCGTGATTGAAAACCCATATGGGAAAAGAATCAGGAAGCTAAGGACAGATAATGGGCTGGAATTCATTAATGAAGAGTTTGATAACCTGTGTAGGGAGAGTGAAATTCTAAGACATAGAACAGTTAGACACACACCCTAGCAAAATGGCTTAGCAGAAAGGATGAATAGGACCATTCTTGAGAAGGTTAGGAGCATGTTATCTGATTCTAGACTACCTACCAGGTTTTGGGCAAAAGCTGCTCACACAGCAGTTCGCCTGATTAATAGGAGTCCATCCTCAGCCCTTAGTTTCATAACACCCATGGAAAAATGGTCAAGGTATCTTGCTGATTATAGAAACCTTAGGGTGTTTGGATGTACTGTTTTTGTGCATGAGAAAACTGACAAGCTAAAGCCAAGGGCAATTAGATGTGTTTTCTTAGGGTATCCTGATGGTATAAAAGGTTATGGGTGTTGGGATGTTGTAGGACAAAAGTGCATAATCAGTAGAGATGTTAGGTTTAATGAGGATGAAGTGATTGGCCTAAATCAAAATGGTTTGAGTGAAAGTGAAAACACAGTAAGGGCAGAAACCATAAACTTAGATTTAGGTGGAGACAACCCAAACCTGGACAGTGCTGAACCAGACCACAACACTGATGATCAGACCTTTGAAGATGAAACTACCCTAGAGGACAGTGATGAAAGTGATAGAGTTGAAACTGAGTTGCAAAATTACCAACTAGCTAGGGATAGAGAAGGAAGAGAAATCAGGTTGCCTAGGAGGTACTCACATGCTGATATAGTTGCT